CCCGCCCCGTGACAGTGGGATGGACATTCCGCGGCTACCGAAAGGAGGGGCCAGCGTGCGCTGGCCCGCCAGTCGCCGGGTATTGATCGATGCATTCTTCCCCCTGCCTGGGTGTGGTCGCCCCTCCTGGCCCCTTGCGCCCGGCATGCTTAGCCCCAGCGCCGGGCGCCGGCCGGCTGTGGTGCTGCCTCTCTCCCACTGTCTCCGCCCGTCTCTGTGCGTCTTTGTCTTTCTTCGTCCGTCGCAGCGCCTGTCTTTGCCTGTCTTTGTCTGCTCCTGTCCCCGGTCCCCCCCCCCCCGGGCCTCAGCCCAGCGGCTCCGCTGCCCCCGGGCGCTGGCCCAGCCCACGCGAGGGCCGCACACGCCCTTCCGGGCCATTTTTCCCCCTCTCCTTTACAGGCCCCGCCGTCGCCGCCCCGCCCGGAGCCCTTCCTCCGCCCTCCCTACGCCGCGGGCGGGCGGGGGGCCGCCGGCCAAGAGCCGGGATTGACCCAAAAGCGACCGGTCAGGTGCCGTGAGGTGGGGATCCGAGCGCGGGCACTGGCGGTGACACGGCGACGGCACCGCGGCAACCTTGGTCGGTGTGCTCGAAAGGCGGGGCCTGTGCCGGCGGGCGACCAGGCGCGTGTGTGCGCCTGGCGCCTCCGCCGCTCGGCCGGTCCTGTCGGAAATATATGCAGCGTCCCCAGCTGGTGGCCGCGAGGGAGGGGCCCCCGCGGCAGGGGGAAAGCCCGCCTGCCGCGTCTGCCCGTGCGTGCGCGTGTCCGTGCGCGGCATGTGCGGGGGGGGGGGGGATTTCGCACTCCCTCCAGGTGCAGGGCCGATGCCCTCTTTTTGATGTTTACCTTCCGGGGGACCGGCCGCCGGCAACGCGTCTGTGCTCTGGCCGGGGCCGGGCAGAGGAGGCCTGCCACCGCGGCCCGGCGCGCTGGGCAGGGGGCCCCAGTACTCCCTCCCGATGCACGGCCACATGCTCCGGAGGGGGGGGGGGGGGGGGGGGCGACGATGAGGAAAGGAGGGCACCACGAAGCCAAACGCGCCGGCGCCAATGGCTGCCGCTCCGGAAGCAGGGCGCCTGGCGGCGCGACGGCAAGCGACCTTGGCGAAACCCAGGTCGGACGCGCCCGGCTGCGCGACACGTCGGCTCCCGTCCCTCGGCGCTCTCCCGCCCCCCCCCCCCGGGGGGGGGGAGGGGGCGGATACGGGCAAGCGGACCGTGGGCGACCCGTAATTTGATGGTGCGCGTGGTCCACCGGGTGTCTTTTGTTGGGGGCGGGGGCGGGGCAGGGGGGGGGGGGCGTGAGAGGGGCGATTTGAAAGTACACGCAAGTGCGTGTGTGCCCTGGCAGATGGAGAAGCCGCTCGGACCCTGCCGGCGGTGCGCGAGCTCTGGGCGACGGGTCGGCCACTCCCCGCCCCCCCCCCCCTCCCGTCGGAGACCTTCGGGTCCCGAACAGGCGAGCCGAAGGGGAAAACCCCTGCCTGGGGGCGAGGTCTGGCCGGGGGGGGTGGGCCTGATCGAGCTGGTCCTCTTCAAGAAG